CCTTTAATCCCAGCACTTGGGAGGCAGAGGCAGGAGGATCTCTGTGAGTTCAAGGCCATCCTGGCCTAGTCTACAGAATGAGTTCCAAGACAGCCAGAGCAGTTACACAGAAAATGCCCCTCCTTTTGGACTATACTCCCCAATCGTCGTACAATATGAAAGCCTTATTTTGCTGCACACGGTAGTCTTCTTCTCTGCTTTATTTGTTTGTTTGCTTAATGGAATTTTGTGTTATCCTGATAGCAAAATCTTGACAGAACTGGTCTGAGAATGACTCTTGTAATAAGGTAAATGTCATTTAAATCATTGAAATTTGCATAAAGCATTATACCACAATGTAAATTGAAAACTAGCACAACATTCTATAAACCACAGCTTCAGACTGGAACCCTAAAATAAGTACGATGGGAAATAAACAGTTTAGCTCAAATCCAGCTAGGCATCTTTGCTGAAGAAGACTTTTAACTGGAGGCCCAGCTGCTACGTTAACATTGGACATTAAAAGTATTTCAGGGCTGGGGAGATGGCTCAGTATGTAAATAGCCTGCCTGCTAAACAAGCATGAGGTCCTGAGTTCAGATCTCCAGAAAGACAGACAAACAAACACTAGGTGTGGCTGTACATGCCTGTAACCCCAGCACAGAGGGGCAGAAACAGGTTTGGATCCTAGTACCAAGGGGGACCTGATGCCCTCTTCTGGCCTCTGCAAGCACCTCCACACAGGTGCACACCCATACACATCATCTTTAAAAATATAGTTAAGGGGCCAGCGACATCTCAGTTGGTAGAGCACTTGCCTAATATGCAGGAAGTCTTGGGTTCACTCCCCAGCACCCTAAAACCTGGCATGATGGCACATGTCTATACTCCTGGCCAGAGTCAAAGGGAGATCTGAAGTCTTCTGTCACTAGCTTTGACAATGAATCAGGGGGCCACAAGCCAAGGAATACATGTGGCCTCCGGAGAGTGGAAAAGAAAAGACATGGGTCCTCTCCTAGAGCTTCCAGAAAAAATACCAGTGTCTGGATAGGTCCCCTGAACTGCAGGATAAGGAAGAAACATGCAGCGTTGTGTCACAAAATGCATGGCAGTTTGTTGAGAAATAATAGAAAACTAATACAATTGAAAAAAATTAGCAGTTGTGCTACATAAAATGAAACATGAATGAGTGGACGGCCACAAACAGAGACACCCTCAGAGTGCAGCTATGGAAAGAAAGGCAGAACAGGTGCACAGAGGAAGAGCCCAAAACCACACGGGGTATCAAAGACCTGTAGTCCCAGCACTTGGGAGATGAAGGCAGCAGGAGCAAGAGTTCAAGGCCCTCCTCAGCTGCATAATTCTGCATTCAGTCTGGTATAAGTGAGACCCTGTCTCAAAACAGCAGTAATAGTAATAATGACAGGAGTTTAAAAGTGGAGATTTGAGGGAAGAGAGGTGTTTAAGGTAATAAAAATACCCCACCCTTGTAAACAACATGAGTAACTAGGATCAGTGAGGATGGAGGGAGAAGGATGTGTGTGTGTGTGTGTGTGTGTGTGTGTGTGTGTGTGTCTGTCTCTATCACAACAGCACTGGGACTGTTGACCTCCTTAAAACCTGAGCCAAAAGAAAGCCACCTCTCCTCTTAAACTGTTTCTGTTGGACACTTTTGTAATCAATGCAAAGCATTGTTGAGAAAAAATGGTTTGTGATCAAGATCAGAACATTCTATAGGATTAGGCCATGGACTCCCCCTCTTCAATGATCTGTAGATTGGATCCAATCAGAATGTGCTCTTTTTTGTAGTGATAGAAAAGCTAATGCTAAAACTCACCTGGAAATACAAAGAAACTAGAAAGCCAACAATGGTAAGAAACAAAACCCAAAGACAGGAAAGATGTGACCTGGTCCCAAGACACAAAACTGCAGTGCCTGGATGCAAGCAGCTGTGAGACCACAGAGGCATGGCTATGACACGCCAGGCAACACCACTGGGAACACTACAGTTTTCTCTTTTTCCGTGTGTGTGTGTGTGTGTGTGTGTGTGTGTGTGTGTGTGTGTGTGTGTGTGTGTGTGTGTGGGTGTGTGTGTGTGGGTGAGAGAGAGAGAGAGAGAGAGAGAGAGAGAGAGAGAGAGCCACATACACCCACTTCCCTGATACACACAGACAGTTGCACTTAGAAACAGCAGGAGAAGCAAGAGGAGGCATTTTGAGATTCCCAAATGAAGGAAGTCATATTTCTACCATGAGTATTTATTTTAAATAGTGATGATATGGGGATAGGCAAAGAGTGTATGGGAGACTGAAAGAGTTAAGGCCTCAGCTTCCACTTCAGGAAAACATGAGGGACTCCAAGCAAAGTAAGAATAACCCAAACTTTGTATTCTGAACTATAGAGTTAAATGTCTAACAACTGGCAAACACAAATGGGAGTGGTTTCTTCAGGGAGAGGGAATGAGTCAGGATGGAAAGGGAGCTGCTGCTTGTTGTGGCTGTACCCTTGAGTGCCATTTTCTTATAAAGATATATGCAGATTTAAAGATATATGCAGATTACCCTGATAGTTTTGATTTTTTTTTTTTGTTGAATGAAAAAATGTGTGACAATGTTAGGGAAAACTCAGACCTCAGCTTCTCTGACCATGTGTGTTCCAAAAGGAACACCTGGACATCAACCCAAGTCTCACATCTGTGCAAACAGAAACTCTGTGAGGATTGTGGACTTCAGAAGAAGGATGGGAGAAACACCTTCAGCATCCAAGGCTGAGAATGCTCAACTCACCACACCGGATGCACAGTTCATAAGAGAAAAAAACCTGACACACAGAACTCCACAATGAAAAGTTCAGACCTGTAAAAAGCTCATGAAAAGATACAGAGAGAATATATTGAAAACCATAAGTGTATCTCAAAGGACTTGTATTTGGCCTATGTAAAGAACTGACAAAGCTTAGCAGTAGAGATAGAAATAATTCAATTATAAAACGGGTGAAGATGGGAAGAGACATTTCAGCCAGAAGAGCATATGTAGCAGGCTTTCTCTTGGCCGCCTGGCCATTCTCAAGTCATGACACAAAGACTTATTATTAGCTATGAATGCTCAGCCTTATCTTTTGCTTGTCCCAATAGCTCTGACAACTTAATTGAACCTGTTTCTCTTTATCTATATTTTGCCTCGGGGATTTTTACCTGTCTTGCATTCTGTAGGTCCTACCCCATGTCTGGCTGGTTGGCAGCTGCCTGGCTGGCTCCAGGTGTCTCCCTCTCTCCCTCATTCTCTCTTCTCTCTCTCTCTCCTTTCTATCCTAGACTTCTACCAATACTACTTCTCTCTGCCTGCCAGCCCCTGCTATCCCTCTATTACCTAGCTATTGACCGCCAATCAGGAACCTAAGGCAGACAAAGTAATGCAACAGCACATCTTTATATTGTTAAACAAATGCAGCATAAGCACTGTAACACAACTTCACATAAAGTAATACCCTGAAACATAAACAAATGTAACACATCCTTACATAGTTAAAGCCATACTTCAAAACAAACATGCACAGCAGACAGGTGCCTGCTTCTCGGCAGCAGCATCAATGTGGCTAAAATAAAAGCAACAGCAAATGCTGGTGCAGATGAGAAGAGACAGATCACACACCAGCCTGGTAGGAACAGGAGACGCTTTGGCCACTCTGGTGGCTTTACAGTTTCATTGTTTGCAAAAATAAACTCCAGATGACAAAGACCTAACCTAAACATTAAGGAACAGGTTTTAAAGTAGTCAAAAACCACAGTACAATAGTCCCATGGACAGGAAGACTTCTCAGCACACAAAATGTACAAATCAAACAAAATATTGATAAAGTTGTCTACACCAAAATAAGAGTGCCTATGTCCTCAGAACAAAATTAAACAAGGCAAATAAAGCAAAAACAAAAGCACCTCCCAAAATAAAGAGAAAATAAAGTTATTAATAACCCATAGGTAAGATTTCCTATAAATCACAAAGGCAAGGCAAATTTTCTAAAATAAAGCAAATGATGTAACTTAGCAAACAATTAAAACAGAAAAAAAAACTAATCTAGGGATTTCAGAAAGGTTAAAATGGAAACTGAACACCATTTTTTTATGTAGAAATGCTTGACAAAAATTGAGATCTGGCACACACTGACCTGATAGTGCAGCCATTTTGGAGTGTCCCTTGGCAATGTCCACCATCATTTAAACACCAGTGACACAGTTCCAGCTCCAATCCTTGCTTTCATGCTGACTTAGCAATTTCATTTCTAGACAGTCTTACTCAGTTATGTATTGAGGCAGATAAGGGAGTAATAGTGGTCACTGCAGCAATTAATAGGGGCCATGCAAAAACATGAAATTGCTAAGCACAGTGGGAGAGGCCTATGTACAAAATAGAAACAACTACAAAAAAGAGTAATGCATTGGGGGGGGATTGTAAGTACAAAACAAAAAAATAAGACTACGTTATATGTGAAATACATGTGCCAGCTACAGATAGGACAACAGCCATACTCAGTCATTAGGAGAGGCTATGTCTAGGGAGGAAACCAGATGGAGTTGGAAATCATATAGAGACTATAGGAAAATATACATCATTTCAATTTTTCCCAGTTGGTTTTACTCTGGCTCCTATTTAAAATCTAACAGTACAGTACTTGAGGTGGTGTCAGGCACATCTCAGGTGCTCAGAAAACACTAATTAAAACTTTCTAACAAGTAGGAAGCTATTTTGAAGGTGTAGACCTTTAAATATAGAAAATAACATAGCAGCTATGGATATTTAGCCAAGCGGATGTCTAACAACATTAGTACACAAGGGACTTCTTCCCAGTACTGGCTTTCAAAATTTCAATACCTCACAATGGAACTGGGAAAAGGGGAACTCATCAATCAACTGAGGAAAGCCCACCGGTTTCTCAGTGCATTCCCACCAACAGCCTCACCAACATACAAGGGTGAAAGCACCTAACTGGAGAGCCCACTGGGCACACTCAGACGGCTAACTTACCTGACATCTTTGATGTCGTGCTGGAAGAGACTCCATTGATATCACTGGAGCTCGTGTTCACAGGCTTTGGCATATATTCTCGCTTGGCCTCTTTGGAGGTAACCGATATTCTGTAATACACATGGGAGAGGCCAAGTCAGACCTTTTTCCCAGACAGTAGAGCCACCAACAGGCCTTTGCTATTCTTGAAGACCACCAGACCCAATGAGATTGTGAGAACAAGGATTGTGTACACTGACTTCTGGGCACCCCGAGTGTCAGGGATATGAGCGGTGTGCAGTTCTTCCATTGTGTACTTTAGTTTCTAGTTGAAATTCACCGGGAAGAATGTCCTCATAATGTCCCTGAGGCCTAGCAGACACTGCCATAGGCTAGCTGCCTTCTTTCCTCTCTGCTGGAGAGGGAACCATCCAAATATGTTCATATGACACCTAGAAGAAGGCCACCTGCCTACAGAAGTGGATGCTTCTGGAATGGCCTCCCCTGTGTAACTACAGCACCAACTGAAGCAATAAATCTCTCCAAATTTATTCATTACTATAATCCTATGTAAAACAATTTTCTGTTATAAAGCCTAATCAAAACATAGTGTAGGTTTAGCCCAATAATTTGATTAATGGGGCTGCTGTGCACACTGTAAATGATATTACTGATTTTCAGAAAGTAGGAATTGCACAGACCATAAAAGTCCCAAGGCAGAGAACAGTATTTCTTATCATTTAGAGGCTATCATTGAGCACAGCCTGATAACATTTTTATATAGTTCTGAGTGTCATCTGGCTCTCTCAGCACACACTCCACCTCTCAACAGGTAAACAGAGTGAACCCTTTGTCAAGCAGCAAGGAAGCCACAGGAGCTCAGGCAGGATGGGTCACAAATGGAGGGACATTAATAAAAAGAAAAAGGAGGGAAGCCATTCCAGCCCTTTACCCTGTTCTGCCCTCTTGTCCCAAGCTACATATATATTATCTTAGCCTCATCTCATACCCAACCTGAAAGCCAGCTTGAGAATTCCAAACAGAATGGGCAGAAGGGGCTAGAGGACAGATGGTGGCTGCACTCTGCAGCCCCCTGCCTAAGCAAAGCAAAAGTGCTTACCGCAACTCTAGCTTCTTCTGTAGCTCCTTGAGGATCTCTGTGGACTGCTTGTGATAGTCTAATGCTGCCTCTACAAACACGGCCAGCTGGCTGACTTGCTCTATCTGTGATAGAAATACAAAGTTACTCCATGCTGGCCAGAGCTCTTGGGATGTCCAGAGCAAACAGGAAACCTGGTGACAACAGCTCATCTCTGTAGGGCAGCCTCAGCCCTGGTCCAGTCCATCTCATCTCATCCACCTCGGAGCCCTACAATCATGATGAGGGTCACATGGAGCTGGAGAGGCTGGAAAAACACTGCCAAATTGATCTGTGATCATGAATCCACTGTAATTCCAACCAAACACCATTTTAAAGTTATAGAATGATATTCTTACAATTATTCTCAATGCCCTAAAACACGTGGATCTGAAGATGGCAGGTGGCTTAGAGTATTATTGCTGGGAAGAGACATCATGACCACAGCACCTCTTATAAAGGAAAACATTTAATCATGGTGGCTTACTTACAGTTCAGAGGTTTAGTCCATTATTGTCAAGGCAGGAAGCAGAGCAGCATGCAGGCAGAGAAGGAGCTGAGAGTTCTTTTATCTTGACTCACAAGCAACAGGAAGCGGTCTGAGACACTGGGCTTGAGCATATATGAGACTTCAAAGCCCACCTCCACAATGACACATTTCATTCAATAAAGCCACACATACTCCAACAAAGACATACCTCCTAATATTGTCACTCCCTTTGGGGGCCACTTTCTTTCAAACCACCACAGTGGGAGAGAGTTTGCCCAACTGTAAGTGAAACCAATGCTTGAGAGATGAGCTTTCTTAATGGCATGTCTCTGTGAGTGCTTTCTAGTTAAGTCAGAATAAGAAACAAAGCCAATGAACCCATGACCAGAGAAAGCAGGGGCAGCATGCAGGTCACACCTGCTCCAGGCCAATGAATTGTTTGTCCCTGTGTTTCTGTTACCATCCAACAAAGTCTTTCTCCTGAAACACACAGCAGAAAGGGATGAGCAGTGCAGACTCCACTGTTCCCCTTTCCCACAAACTGACAAGCCCAAAGATCTGCAGAGCTGAAGGGGGCCTGAGAGTTTCCTGCTTATCAGTGGGTTCAAGAACCACTACAGGAAATAAGGATTAAGTTTATTTCTAGAACCTTCTATAGCAAGGTCCAGAGGATTGAGGCGATTCCCCAACCCATCCACCCCATGCCCACCCCAAATCTCTGATATTCCAGCTCCAGACAGAGATACAAATCAAAACTATGTGTCCCAGGTCTTCCAACCAGTCTGGGGCAAAACCTGGCTGCTTCCTCACTCTGTAGTCTCTTGTCTCCCACATAGCCACCTGAGGACTTGCTGGCTTCCACAGATCCATGCTGCCTCCATGTATTGTTGAGAACTCTTTCAGCTGCCTGCCCTTTACTTTTACCACCCACTTATTTTAAACATGGGTTTAATGTGCATTTACAACATACATGGTTCCCACTCATGCCAGGAACGCAATGGGCACATGACTAAGGCAAGCCCTGGCATTGCACTTACTTCACCATGCTCTGTGGCTAGAAAAGCAGCATGGGCTTTCCATTTCCAAAAACCCAATAAACAAAACAAAGACAGTCTGGCCCCTGCAAAATCCTAAGGATTTCTTAAGTTTCACCTCCTTGGCTTTTAAGAACACTTTTAACAAGGCCAGCGCCACAGCCTGACATGATCATGGCAGAATCTGCTATGAAACAATGCTGCTTCCTTGCAACCCTGAAACTGCACACTCAGTAAGAACTGCTATGGCCCCTCTGTCTTTAGTAATAAGTCTGTTTGTACCCACTTCTTTGAACTAAGCTTGTCATTTATGAAACTTAAATGGCTAACCTTCTGCAAATGGGAATGGGGATCACCAACTGTTTCTCTGACATCTGGAGCTGCATCTGGAATTCTTCAATTGATAGCTGACTTTGGGGAGGCAATGGAACCCAGAACCCCTAAACGTTTGACAGACAACAGCACCACTACACGTGGTACCTGCAAACAGTGGGTACCCAGGGAAAGTACTGAGAGTAGTTACTAATGAGTGCAAAGGCAAGTCAGACCCAAACTGGATTATCTATCACTGTTGGAAACCGGAACTTTCCAGCCCCACTCCCACCCCTAGTCCAGGATGTGAACTGTGTGCTGGGAACCAGTAGATGTGGCCTCTGCTTCCAAGGCTCAAACAACTCAAAAATACATAGAAAGAAAGAGCTATGCTACAGCAACAAACTTAGACCCTGCAAAAGCCAATGGCTGTACAGGGGAAACACATCCTCTATTGGCCACATCACAGAATTTGAAAAGCTGCCTACTGATGGGGAATGTACTGTGTATGTAATAGGATATAGGAATGAATACTTTGCATTGGTATGGATTTTCATTTATTGATACA